CTTTGTTTCTCACTTGTGGATTAAAACATAATTAGTATTCTCTGATTTTGGCCTCTATATCACCTCATATGAATAACTCAGTGAAAAAGCAAGTCTTTCTATTTATTTATTTAATTTTTTACACAAACAAGTAGGGTCAGTAACCATTAAAAAAAATAGCACACATACAAGGGCTAAAGAAATCAAATAAAACAACAACAACCAGGTTGACAAAAAAATACTAGCTAATCTCACTGTACACATTAAACAACTTAGTGTCTTAGTAAGTTGTTGGGCCACAAGCTGACAGAACAGCTTTAAACTTGCCGTACATTCTGCATGGACTGCACTGAATGGACAGAGCACAATTATTCCAAAAGATATTCCCCCAGTTGGGGTTTGGATGATGGTGGTGGAGAGCACTGTCTAACACACCAGCCCAAAATCTCCGAAAGTTGTTCAACTAAGTTGAGCTCTGTTGACTGTGAAGGTTATAGTACATGATTTACATCATTTTCATACTCACCCCCCACAGGCTACAATTATGTACACAGCCCTTGTTTGAATGGCCAAGAAGGAGGAGGCACAGCTACCATTTAAAGTAATAATTACTGAGAATTACTGTCAAACCTCAGGATTTATAATGTAGCCTGGAATAATGTAGACTGGACAGGCCGCTTGAGTGACGCTGTATTGTGGCTACGAGGCTGCCTGAACCGGGGACCTGACCGACATGACATCGTACATGCGTGGCTGCTGGGCTGACTGCTTGGATGACATCGCCGCTACGTCGCTGTCAAGGCTGGCCACTCAGGCGACGCTGCACTGCAGCTATGAGGCTGTCTGTATGGTGGTGTTCAGCTGCAGGAAAATGCTACCCCTTTGTGCCTAAGGACTTTTTTTCACCTTCGAGGCAGGGTTCCTGGGCTGGCAGTCTGTGTGACGCACCGTAGTCATAGAGTGACTTTTCCCACGGCTAAAGACTCTTTTTGGGCTAGTGAAGTGACTCTATACTGTGGTCACTGTAATCTCTCCTCGCTAGCTGTTGGAAATGTAGAGGTGTGTGTGTGTGTGTGTGTGTACTGTGTTGTTTTATTTATTGTTGATTATATATTTTGTTATTTTCTGATCTTTTTGTAAAGCGTCCTTGGGTTTGAGAAAGGCACTATATAAATGTAACTTATTATTTTTATTATTATTATTATTATAGAACAAACATTAGCTAGGTTGAGGGTTAGCAACTTGTCGCTACAATTGCTGCTGCAAAGCTAACCAGTTGCTGTCACAAACATTAGCAAATGGGACAAAACAATCCTGACCTAATGGCTCTGTGAAACAGCAATTATCCACCTGTTAAGCAGAAACAGAGCAACCTCCTCATCCCTTTTCATGCCTTTCAACTCTCAATGAACTGAATTTTCCCATTCCACTTGAAATGGTGCAGCAGTTACTTGCTGGTGCCTCAGCTTCTTGTTTGTATTTTCCTGTTCCCCCTCAAATGGCGCAGCAGTTACATTCTGGAATTAGAAGCCAACTTTAACCTTGTCAATCTTTAGAGGTCTTTCCACCATTGACATGCCCTTGCCTGATTTAAGAGCTTCTTTCTCAATCTTTGTTATTCAGCCTTTCTCCTCTTTGGCTGTTTCTTGGCCATCTCATCCTCTTGACAATGCATGGAGTTCAGCACATGGCCCCTCCCCTTGCCCTGTCCTGTACATGAGCATGAATGCCCCTTGTTGCCAAGGCTTACAGGAAAGAAAATGTGTGCCTGAAATTGTGCAAATTAGTCCAAAAGTTTGCAGTGATAACAAATAGCCTATTAATTACAGTGCTTAGATCTATACATACATATACAGCTGTATACTTGCTATAAGACAGTAAAAAAATACACAATATCTTTTTTTCCATATTTTTCTTAAGCCACAAGAGGCCATGCATTACTGGTTTTATTACAGGGAAGGGGGTTCATGGCACAAAATTGTATATTTTAGTAATTTCATGAACTTTTTAACTCATATAGGCCTAATAATGAACCTATATCATAGCATTGTTTGATGCCAAAATCTTCACTTTATCTTTCACTCTTCATTTACTTTTTGGCCACTAATTTACCAATGTGAGTTTTATTTAGAACCAAGCTAACAGTGCCCCTCTTCTCATGTCAGGGCTGAATCTCAAATGGCTCCCTGCTCCCTACATAGGATGTATGTAGGAATCTATGTATCTATGTAGGAATTTAAATACTGGCTCCTGCACCCCAACAGCGAATAATATAGCTAAAAAATATTCATTCAAGCTCTAAACAGCCTTGCTCCTCAGTACTTATCTCTTATTAAGAACCATCACGCTTACTTAGATTACAAGTTGCTGGCTCAATTTTAGTGCCTAGAATTCATAAAGTTACACCAGGGGTAGAGGCTTTTCATACAAAGCCCCCCAGCCCAGCTTTGGAACAACCTTGTAGTCAGTGTGACTCAGACACAGCCTCAGTTTTTAACCCCCTAAAATCCCAGGCTTATTACATACTAAGGTTTATTGTTCAGTAACTACAGGTATTTCAATGCAAACTGGTTGAGCCATTCTTAGGTTATTGAAGTGTGTATTAAAACTTTGGGCCTGGGCCTATTTAACTTTAAAATGTGTATTTATCTTCGTAATGAGGGATTACATTGCAACCTTTCTCCCTCTCATTGTAGTTATGGATGGACTGTTCTTGCTAACTCAGTCTGATCACATCTTGCATTGACATTCTCAGTCATCTGAGGAACAGTTGCTCTTCTGCTTTTCCTTACATACCACAATAATTCATGAGAATTACTGTCACTGAAGGTGCGCTTTTAACCACAATTCTAATTTCCCTTTATCATCTTGATTCAAAATCTAGGTCAACTGGACCTGGCAAGGATTTTATACATGCCACAGAGCTTTAAAAGTTAATAAATCAAATTAATAAAGCTTAGTTGTATTATGCAGTACACCTGTCTGAAAGCATCTGCACTCATTATGTCTCCCCACTCATTTATTTTCACCAATTTGCTACAAGCTTGTACGTCAATTAGATTTTGTTGCTAAGAACTTCAGGGGGCGGCAGTAGGTGTGTAATGGTGCACTCACTCCAAAACGTTTTGTTTATTTCACATTTAATTGTTTCCAGATTCGATTTGACTCTCAAAACTAGACTCACAATTTGAAATTCTTATATTTTGAATGAAAAGAATTCTGGCTGTATCCATGTTTCCATGCTACATAGCTAATGAATATGCAGCTGTTCGTTGTTTATTGGTACCGTTTGTTTGCAAACCCAATGCCATAATAAATAGAATGACATTTTTACATCATGATATCACAATTTTTTTTAGTATTTACCTCACTGAATAGTTCAAGTTTTTTCTATTCATCTTTACTAAGGATGACAATAATTCTAAATGCATTGTGCTCTAAGTTTTAAATAAAATTGACTTTATGATTCTGGCACAGTCAGGTCCTTAATCCTCAAAGTTGCGTATGGTCAAATCTGATCATAAAATGAGCCCATGCAAATTGCACCAACAGTTTTATTATTCATCAATTTCATCATGATCAAATTCATGACTCGTAGCAGTGTGTAAAAATGCTATATTTAACTAACCAAAACCAATAATAATAAAAATAAAAAATTAACTATAATATAATAGCCCTGTGATGGACTGGCGACCTGTCCAGGGTGTATCCTGCCTTCCACCCAATGACAGCTGGGATAGGCTCCAGCACCCCACCGCGACCCAGAAGGATAAATGTTTAGATGATGTGTGTGTGTGTCTGTGTGTGTATAATATAATAATTTGTGCACGTCAATTCAGTACAAATATGAGTGTGCTTATTGGTATAAATGAATGCTGCATCTATTCTTTGTTTCATTTAAAGACATATTACAGCTGGGTTTTACTTTATACTAATATACCACATAATAAAAGCCAAACAGAGCTGGTGAAGAAGCATCTCTGGTTTATTTAGGGACTATTCTTTTTTAGCGTTTTTTTAACCACTATTTTACCACGATCAATATTACATATACAAACTCCTATATTACATATAAAAAAGGTTTGACGGAGGTTTTGGATAATAAATAAAATGGCTATAATTGTATTGTAGACATTGTGGCCCCCAGTTTCTATCACTGTGACTAAAGAAATCAGAGTCAGTATGTTACAATTAACCATTTTATATCAGACCAATCCAAACGACTTTGCTTACTTCTGTATAACTGAATAATGCAGAAACTTTGAATTAAATTATTTGAATTTAAGAGTGGGGGTTTTAGTTTAGCATGTATTGTTATGGCCCTAGAAGTTGACCGTTAACCTATTATGGATCAAAAAAGAACAAACATTTGGAGAAGTGAAGTGAAAATGCACACAAGGGCATAAATGTGCATACACAGTGCTGCATTTATATTACACAGCAAGTCCTGTTTTTTGAACAAAACACCAAGACACAAACAGATACACATTCAGTGAGCAAGCCTTTGACTTTTTTTTACCACCTTTTAACATTTTGTAGCATAATGCAACTTATAGAACTTAGAAAGTAGAAAGCTTCTGTGTTTGCCAGACATTGCCTCATCAGAAGACCATTCAATTCACAGTGAATCATTGACACAGAAAACATTAAATGTTTAAGTGATGGCTTTTTATGTAAAATGTCCTTTATTAATCTACAAAATAATGACTGTAAACAATAATACAACCTTAATGACTTAAGTTCATCATATATACAACTAAAGCTAAATATTGCAGTCAATGATCATGAATAACTTCAAAGTAATTGCATTTATATAATGTAATTATTGAGAAAATGTAAAAGATATACATTTTTCAGTTTTGCATATTTTTTATGCACCTACAGTGAAGCAGTGTGTTCAAGTCGTTAGCTTGTACTTGTGTTCACACTTATGCAAAAAAAAAGGGTTGCGGAAGAGTGAAGCAAAACAGGAACAGACAGCGTATGAGCGTAGGCGAGCGAGAGAGAAAGATAGAGGGAGATAGGGTGAGTAAGTGTACGGAGGGGGAGTTCACAGTGTGAATAAACAGAGCGAGTCATTTGTCATCACACATTCATATGCGCATCAGCTTGAGAACAAGCAGAGACTGTTAGTGGCAGACTGAGAGATGAGAGGTAGAATCTTCTTAAGAATTAATTTGACTCCTGTGAACTTGATTTACTGAGTACAGTAATGTTCAGGGTTCTCTTGTAAATAATTCAGCCAGTTTCTTTTGTGGACTGGGATCCTGGGATCTTGGACAAGACAGTGGTGGTCTTGTTGGATATGATGCTGTTATACTAACACAACCATGGACAGGAACCCCTGGGTTTCAGCTCTCATCGTGTTACTCAACTTGATGCATTACATATCAGGTACGACAGCTTTCTAGTATTAATTTGTCAGAGAATCAATGATGCATTTTTATACTCATTAGTACACATTGTGTTTAACAAAATGCCTACATGGCTGCATATGGATATGAATTCCACAGAACCAGGAATCAGCTTTTATTATTGTCGCATGAAAATATTATCTGCTATTTAGTTGTTTCTAAATATAAATCTTGAGTCTAAGCCATGTAGTCTACGTATTAATCCGGAATTACAGTGACGTAACAATGGCAGTTCCCTCTTTTAAAGGATTCTAACGTCATTTTCCACTATGTTCACATGATTTAACATGCATGGAAACAACCGAAAAGCTTTCACAGCATAAATTACTATTTTCACATATATCATAGTGAGACAAAAAGAAACTGTGTACAGCAGTCTTACACGGGGCAACTGTTCAAGGTTTACGTTCCCAAAAACCTCATTGGCAAGATTATCTTAACTCTTAAATCTTATCAGAAAGAACATTCAAAGTGATACCAGCTCAACAATCTCACAATGAACTTTGTGATTGCTCAAACTAACGCACTTTATGTATAGTCATTCTCACCTGTAAATTATGACTAAGGTTGGGGTGATTTAGTGTTTGAAGCTCACTTCAGAAACTTCACTTGTTGACTTGTTCACTGTTTTGGGAACTGAAAGTCCTGGAAAGTTTTGAAAAAATCCTCTCAGTTTTTTCTGTACATGTAAACAATTTCTCTATTGTCAGGTGTGATGATGAAACCAGAAAATGTCACATTACACATATGGGAGGGCAATGTGACTGTGACCTGGGATCCCCCTGAGAAAAATCCAGTTGGTTGCGTCTATCAAGTTCAGATGACTGAGTAAGAAGACATTTCATTTTGCTCTTTACTCAAACTATTTTAATCACCCACTTCTATCATTCTATGCATTAAATGCATATTAATAAAAAGCTTGTTTTTTTTCCCTAGCTACTCAGAAACTCCCGTAGTCTGGAAAAATCTGTCCAACTGCAGTCTACTTAAAGCCTCTGTATGTAATATTGGACATCTATCGAGTGACTCAGATTTCCACGTTCGAGTTGGAGTTGTCATGCCTCAAGGCAGCATTTCCTGGAGTGTCAGGAAATACATTAATGTTCGTAGAAGTAAGTGTTTACATCTTTAAAGTAATGATGCACCCTAGTGATGATTTTTTTTTAATGTGTGTAGACTCACCTTGTATTCATTTCTTAGTGTATAGTTGTAATTCTTTATCATCTACTACTATTAACTGACTTAAAACCTCTGTTCTACGTCTTAGGTCAACTACTCCCACCATCTTTCAATCTTTTGTCCACCCCATTCTCTGTGCAAGTCAAGGTACACAGGAAGGATGAGTTAAAAGACATTTTTCCCTATGGCTTGGAATACACTGCCTCTCTGTGGCCAGTTGGGCAAGAAAACCAGGTACATTTTGCACTATAAAAATTAAGCCAATGCACTTGACCCTCAGCCATTGTAAGTCTCACAGAATTCTAACTGGGAAATATTAACTGTTGTGTTTATTCTGTTATTTAGACACAGACTGGTGATGACTCTGATGATGATGGTGAGATAGAGTTCAACTTCTTGCGACCATGGCAGGTGTACTGTGTGCGTGTGTGGGTGAAAACTGGTGCCAGCAGCTCCTCTTCGGAACAATGCATACAGCTTCCACTTGGTAATCTTAATGGCATTTGTTTTCTGTTTACATGTTCTGAGAAAAAGGCTGAAGTGTATTTGTCATATCTGGTATTTTCATTTTGAACATGAAATATAAACACAGACACAAACAGATTTCTTAATTTTATTGTTTCTTCCTGTCAGATATGACGTTGATTATCTGCTTTGTCTTCTTTGGACTTTTGGGCTTTGTGGCTGTCCTAATGCTCTTTGTCTGTTGTTTCCTGAGACGTCCTAGGAAAATGCCTGGTGCTTTGGTGAGTCACCTCTGTCTTCATTTGGTTTCATCAAAACTAAAAGCTGAAGAACAAGCTAGTTTCGTTGCAAAAAAAGGAACAGAGAACCATCTAAGATGAAGTGAACTTCATCTGTGAAGCAGTGAACTTCGCTTTTCTTAGAAATCTAACCTACATGGCAACCCAGGAAAGCAGGGGATTTTGCGTACTCAAATTTGATTATAAGATGTGAAGCCCCTGTTAGTTACTGTTGTCAGCTGACTACACTGACAACTTCTTGGTGGTGAGGAATATTTATATGTATAGGCTATATGTAAAATAGAGAAGATCTTTAGATCTTCTGCCACTGCCTCGTACAACATACTTGTCAATGTTTTTTTTCCCCCAATACAAAATGTCATTGAGTTTATGAGAGGTGCTATGTAAACAGAACATATTACATGTATATCCCCCTCCAGAAACCTGTTGTGAACAAATGGCAGCCCATGACTGTAGGATCTGTAGAAGTGGAGACAGTCACAGACAAAGGATGGCTACTCATCACCAACAAAAAAGAAGAAAAGATGCATATATCAGAGGAGAAGATTGAATTTACTGAAGAGGAGAAAGATCGGAGAGAAAGCCTAGACAGCGGAGTGAGCATGGAACAACTGCATCCATCTGTTAGTAATACAAGGACAGAAGGACAGACAGAAGACATACAAGAGGACAGTGGTTGTGAAAGCTTGAAAGGAGCTGAGGGCAGTGGAAGCGTTAGGAAAGCCTCAGGAGAGCACCTTTCTCTAGATGAGATAAGTCATGATGGCAGAAGTGAGGGAAGGGAGGACAGTGGTTTGGGACTGAGCCACCGGGAGGTGTCCAGTTCTCTAGAGGGGGAAGACAGTGGACTGTTGTCTGAGGTAGTGGTGGGGGATGGATATCGAAGTCAGAGTCCCTCTAGTGTGGACATGAAAAATGAGACTCCTGAGCCTTGTGACATGGACACAAACATGGCTTCCCCATCAGGTGGATACAGGTCTGGTCAAGTGACGTGTGTGTGTTCAGACCATGAGTACTGTGTTTGGTGCAAATTTAAGAAACCTTTGACTGAGGACTGTCAGTCAGTGACTCCAATGCAAACAAACTTTAGTCAAACTATATGTGACACTGACGATGCTAACTCTGTTATCACTAGTTACCGGAAAAAGAATCTTATCCAGACAGTAAATCTTTTAGGTTTGGAGGATACACAGTCAGTGTTCCCCCAGTCAGATATGAGCACAGAGACTTCTCTGCTTCTCTTTTCCTGTCCTCTGCTTCTGCAAAGTGGCAAGAATCAAGACTGCATAACAGACACATTCTTTCTCACTGGATGATGTGAAACTAACTTTTTTTCTGAGCTGCTTGTGGGTGACCTATGTAAATAACATAGACTCATGGATTCCATGAACAAAGCTGGAAACTTGGAAAAGTTAAGAAAAAAAACAACTCAAAAATGGTTGTTTGAATAAGCATGTTTGTAAGAATCAGATACTCTGACTGCTACCTTTTTAACCTTTCACACAACCTTATTCATGGCACTGGTACAAATTTGAGACATCTCATGATCTCATAATCATGGGGTGCTGCACTGCTAAACTCTACTAATATGCCCCTCATGAACATGAGAGCAAACATCGATCAAACGGAAGCAGAAAAAATAACTACTGGACAAGAGACCCCAGAATAAATCTTTGCCCCACCATCCTGATATGACATTTCATTACACATGTACGTAGAGAACATAACTGTAAAACGGCCACACTGAATGTATTATGTTCTCGTTTATAGTTGTACTCCTTTGGAGTGGGTACTAGCTAGTAAACTGAACTTTGTAGGTTTACAGTACTGCCAAAAGTTACACCACCTTTCGCTTAAATTCTTGATTTCATTGGTATGCTAATTGTTCATTTTTGGTCATATTAATCAGGTGTGATAGAGCGAGGAGAACACTAAACTATGTGGTTTCATTGCTCTTCAGCATTTGAGACTGGCCCCCTTTGTGCCAGATCACGCTAGAGGATGATATTGTAGGTTTCTGATAGTCTGAGCCCATTTTGGAGAAATAGCTATACACAGGGCTGAGTTAGTGAAAGCTTGCATGGAGGTCAGTACTAAAGGCCATGTCAAACTCTATCTAGAGGCATGCTATAAACTAAACGTTGCACATGCATGTTGTATATAAATGAACATGATGTATATTACCTTCTATTTATTTATGGGCATTTTGAAGATGCATTTTGTCTGAATGTAACATACACACACAAACAAATAAATATTTGTTTTTTTGGGTTATTGACTTTTCACTTTAGATACGTTTATTCACATTTTTTCCTGAAATACAGTAGCAAACATTTTGATTTTAATTTTACTATTGGTCTTTTATAATGGTTATCTTAGTTTACTAGAATCAAATAATTTTCCTCCTTTTAAAAGCAAGCTTTTTTAAATGAAACAATTCCTTCAAGTGTAATAAGGAAGTAAGAAACAGGCAGTGAAAAGCTTTAAGTAAACAGACTAAACTAGTATTAAAAAATGTGATCAGAGAATACAGTACATAATCACAGCAGTTAAATCCCAGATATATTTAGTTCTTTAAAGATTTCTGTAAGCAGTACAATTTTAATATGATACTGAGTAGAACCTGATATATTTCAAAATTTTTCAGTAACACACTCATTTCTACTTTCAAGCAAATGAACAAATACCAAGATTATAGAGAAATGAAGTGGGTGGGGGGTTCCTGTGGTCCTGTGTTTTACGTTATTACAGACACCATGTTTGGAGAAAGATTCTTTCTTGAGAAAAGTTGCTATGACTGATATAAGAACTTGTTTATGTCCAACTCTATACTATTCAAACAGACCTTCCAGACTATTTGAGTACATGGCCTTGTACCAGACTAGGAGCAAACTGTTGCAAGCATTAAGGATGCAAATCAGATTCCCTTGTGACATCATATTTATTGATGGAACTCAAAGACATTGTGCCTACTTTCAAAAATTCATCTTTGTTATACCTATGAATCAGTCCTAGTCACCATCAGAGCTTTTACTCTGTAACAAATTTTAAAATGTGTAAAAGCATACTTTGTTTAATTGACATATCATTTGTATAAAAGTATAACTATAACTGCTTTGACATGCTGCAGATATTTATGATTATATTTTCCCCTCTTTTTGAAAACCAACTTGTGGTCATCTCTGGTTTGGTTTGGGTCTATTATTTACAGTTAGGTTTTCTCATTTTCTACATGGAAAATGATTGTAATTATTTCTTAAGCAAGCCATTAGAAAACAGGGAATAAGAAAATACACACCACTAACAGTTTTGCTACTAGTTTTGGTGGCGCAGGAGATGTAATCAACACTATCATCTGGAATTTATGGGTAAATAAGGTGGCGCCAAAGGAGTTCACCACTTCCTATCGTAGAAACCACGTTCTATGGAGCACGCCACATTCGGTAGATAACAGATGAAATAAAATGATATGCTGACTGACGACTAATGGCTCTTGAGGTTTCCTTCATTCTTTGAAAAACATGTGAGTGGAAATGCTTGAATGAATTACATTCATGCAAAAAACTTTTCTATATTTGTCCGCAAAAACTTAAAAACAAAATGTAAACAAATAATCACACTGAACAAAGATTCAGTACAGTCTTCAATTCTGTAACAGCATCTGTGGTAACACTGTACAAACCTTACAGGGATCTCTGCTATCTCTGACCTTCATCTAAAGATAAGTATGAGGCAAAAAGGATTTTGCTTACCAAGTCAAACACGAACAAAATCCACTGTATCCCACTGTATGACACACATATTGCCTGACATATACTACATGATTGTTATTGCAACAAAATATCTCCACTTTCTGTTCTTTTCTTAGCATAATTCTGTGCACTGTTTTTGGAAAGGTCCATAAGTCAGTTTACTGTCCTTTCTTTGAACCTGCCCCTACATTTCTCAGCTAAAGGGTTTCATTTAGTTTTTCGTACGTGGAATTTATGTCACAGTTGCAAGAGAACTTTCCCTATGGTGACACAGTATGGTACGAACAGGGTAAGACAATAAGCATAAAGGATGTCTAATCCTGAACACTACCAAAATGAAAAAGATTTTATGTAAGGGGTATGCGAGTGCACATAGGCATTTTGGTCAATGCTATGTATTGTCATTGAATCTGTCTAAAATCAATGTATTAACTAGTCTTATGTTATATCTGATCCTTGAGAATCACCTGCCCGATTCATATTTCCTGTGCTGAATCTGATGGTTAATCATTACATACCACTTAAAGAAAGAGCCTGTAATTTAACACCCACAATTACTACAAATATAGCCTTGGTAGTGAAGTTTACAGTTTGTATATGTTGGTCCACAGTAACCAGGCCAAAACATTACCAGCCCACCAGGAGCTTACCCAACCATCCTTATTACCTTCTCTGACCCTGCTGGAACCTCAAACTTAATTGATTTGCTAAGACAAAATAGCACGTCCCTTTATGCATGGTGTGCTTTACAGTCTTGAGACTGACTGTAGTCAGCCTTAACCAATAGTAAAGTATAGAGCTGAGGAAAAGAAACATGGTATTAGCCCAGCCAAAGTTTAATTTTGCACCATTTCCTCAGATAAAACATGTCTACTAATATTTACAATTTCAATTAGTGATAAAAGCCATTTACCTGGGGTGAGGACAAGATTTAAGATTGTGCCTATTGTAAAAATATTGTGCAGAACACTGGTCTGCACTGTTCCCAGTTATATCCACCCAAGATAATTTGCTATCTGTATCTGTAGTTCCAGGAATTCCTATGAGATTTGCACTACTAAATAATCAATAGTACAAACAATATCAACAACAATAAAAAAACAGTGAGTAGATTGTATGAGTGTGGAAGAGAAGCAGAAATGAATCTGAATGCTCTTCTAAAGAGAAAAATCCCACAGTCAGTCATTCTCAGAGGAGGGAATATGTGCATTTGAAATTTCAATAACAAATCAACACAACACTCAAAAGAAATCATATCTAAATACACCTTTGTCCCCTGTGTGAGAATTCACAAAACCTGCTTGAAATTCATTAATTTTCCTAAATCCATCAAATTGAAATTATACAGTTACAGCAACTATCAGTTCATTGAGAGGCGTGGGTCATTTATTTTAGGTGGTGTTTAAAAGAATGTTACCCACAGTTTAAAAGAAAAGGCATCTGCGGAGTTTCTGTGGCTTAGAAAAAGCATATCTTCAGTACGCACTAACATTTATAAGCTTAGTCATGCAAGGTTGGTGTTGGTTTCCAAACACCGCCCACATGTTCTCACACACTACTTTTGCATCATTAGCCACACAGTTTGATTCACACAGCTATTGAAATGTAATAGTTCAGGAATTTTGAAAATTTGGGCTACATATATAGCGATCATTCTACTAAAACTGAAGTCAGAGTTGAAAAATCAATTTTGAACCTTATGTTTATTTTATTAAAACAAATGATTGAACCTTATATTTTGTCACTACCAAGTCTAATCATAACATTACCAAAACTTTACTAAATCTTTCAGTAGTGACAATTTTAGCTAATTTTGAGCGTAACTCAAAAACACTAGCCAAATATATTGTTTATATTTGATTGTTTATCTTGTTTATATATAATTGTTTATCTATCAACCTTGTAATAACACTGTAATAGCATTTTTATCGATTTTTAAGTGTTTTTAAGTGCTAAAGCATCCCCTAAAGGCCAAGCTGGACCGAATTGTGTGTACTTCATCAGAGTTTGATTATGTATAAATACTTGAAGTTTGGAGATGATCTGACTAATGACTGATGAGTTATAGCAAATCAAGCTAGCAATGCAATGGCCGCAGTAATTGATAGATCGACACCATACTGAGCAGAAAAGTCAACATTTCTTTGATAATTATTTACCTAGAGACGCCAAAGAGTTTTTCTAGACCAACTTCGAAAAGTTTGGATCAAAATCCAGAGACTAGGACGAAAAGTATGGTTTTCAAACAGTTAACGATTACAAAAAACTATGCAGTTTTGTAATAAACATGCATTTGCAAAACTGTTCGGAATAAGGTACTACAATTGATTCATATGGGTTTTGGGTCAAAATTATAATAGTAGAGTAATAACATGTAATAATATGTTTATTTATTTGAATAGCGCCCCCCAGGGGTCAAATCTTTTGAAACTTGACTGGTTGTTAGAAAGTAGCTACATATAGATACCATTCAAGTTTCATGGTGATTGGTCAATGTTAAGCCTGTCAAAAGCCTGCTAAATGCTGATTGGCCGATGGCGACCATATACTTCAATGTATCAAATTGTCCTTAGAGATACAATTATTGTCTGGCCAACAGATGAGGTATGCAAAGTTTCAGCTTGGTCGGATGTACGGATACTGAGAAACAGCCATGTAGCATTAACTCCGCTCCCTAATGACATATGTGCATACAAATCGATAGGCTGCCTCAGAATCTTCTACCGAATAAGCCTGTCAAGTTTGAAATTTTTTTGGCTGAAGGATTCTCGAGTTACAGAATTTTAAATTAATTCTGAATTATTTTGAATTTTTCCAGAAGGGTTCATTAGCATATGGCAAACATACTGTATGAAAAAAGTCAACATTTTTTTGATAATTATTGAGGTTCAGGCTCTTCTGAATTTTTTGACACCAATTACATGAGGATTGGGCGAAAACTATAGGACTAGTTTCGTAGATTAAGTAGATTTCGCATATTATGCAAATTAGCTCAAAATCTAAGTAGGCAGAGCTAAATGGTCCAAATGGCAAAGTTGTTTGTTTGGACCCAAGGAACCAAGCAAAAAATGTATTTTGTCTGTCAAAAATCTGGTTTAGGAGTTATGAGGCGAAACAAATTTTTCTGCGCTACAGCGCCCCCTGTAGGCCGATTGGGCTGATGTCATGCGCCTGAGTAGCGGGAGGGACTACTATTGACCACGTTCTGTGTCTCTAGGACTTGTGGTTTGGTCTGTGCGTTTCGTTTTATGGCAGGAAAAAAAAGAAAAATCTTGACAATTCCAATAGGGTTCTACGCACTGCATGCTTGAACCCTAACTAGCAAACCCAGCCTTAAACAGATTTACACAAATAAAATCAGAATATTTTTCATTAAAACAAACAAGGAAATATGTGTGCTTCGATGCTATTACAATACCCTATTAATGATCATTTTACACATATTCAACTTATTAGTCAATTAATGTCTGTTAAAAGGGTAAAGTGGTGCAACAGAGCAAAATCCCTAAGCCTATACAAGCCCAAAAATAGGAGCATCTGAAACCCTGAACAGAATGACCACACCTGAGACCACCTGCATCAACAACTGCTGTCTTGCAATATCTTTCCTTCTCATTTCCTTTTCCTATTGCTTAGGACAGAAAGGGGTTTACATGTCAGGCCAACTTTAAGAACTCCAAATCAAATTTATTTAAACATCTAAACTTTATTTTGTCAGTTATTGAGGTTGAAGTCCATCCTAGGGAAATTATGTGGAAACAATAGCACATATAGTGCACATGGTCATCTAACTGCAGAGAAAATGCAGGTAGGTGGGTTTAACAGGAATTAAAGTTTTCTATTTTACAGCCATGAAAGTAGTGTTGGTGTTACAATGCTAACAAGCACAGTACCTCCTAATAAAAGCACAAGTAAATCTCAGAAATAACAAGACTTCCTTTTCTTTTCAGTTAGCATGTATTTTGCAATTAAATAACTTTAAACAGAATTTGAGCACATAAATGGACATCTGACATAACAATGAAGCAACAATTCATGCATTTTAATGTAATGTAAACTTTGTAGGTTTTAATGTTAAAAAGAAGTTGTGTGGGGTCACACATTTGACGTGTTAATGTGTGACGTTTCCATCCTCTGTGGTTTAGAGCTGACATTTTGTTATCCTCCACCTAATGCTGCCTGTCTAGCGCTGGTATGAAACTACAGAGAGAAAAAAAAGAGCGGGGCCTTACTGGCTCAGACTCCCAGAAGTGGTCTCTAGATGAGGCTTGATTTATCTAGGCTGCTATTTGCAGCTTAATGCTACCAAAAGGAAACCACCACAGGCCTGACACCGAGCACAACAACTCACAAACCAACGGCCCTGGTGTCCCACATCCTGTCACAGCAGCAAATCACCTTTACTTTCTACTCTTGAAATGCAAACTATGATCATGTATGTAAACTTTAACCCCTTAAAATTCCAGGCTTATTATGTACTAAGGCTTATTATTCAATAACTACAGGGACTTCAGTGCAAACTGGTTGAGCTTTTCTTAGGTTACTGTAGTGTGTATGAAAACTTTACGCCCCCCTGGTGGGCCATGGCCATTTAAGGGGCTAACCTTATGGTGACTGGATACTTTTCTGAGTCTTAGAACCACCTAAAGAACACAGGCACACACACACACATAAAATGGTTGCCATATCTTTCAAAAACTAAAACGTAATAAATGCAACAAGAAGTGTCAAGAGCTCAGCTCTTATTTTATGGCAAAAGAGCCCCCTGTAGGCCGATTGGGCTGATGTCATGCGCCTGAGTAGCGGGAGGGACTACTATTGACCACGTTCTGTGTCTCTAGGACTTGTGGTTTGGTCTGTGCGTTTCGTTTTATGGCAGGAAAAAAAAGAAAAATCTTGACAATTCCAATAGGGTTCTACGCACTGCATGCTTGAACCCTAACTAGCAAACCCAGCCTTAAACAGATTTACACAAATAAAATCAGAATATTTTTCATTAAAACAAACAAGGAAATATGTGTGCTTCGATGCTATTACAGTACCCTATTAATGATCATTTTACACATATTCAACTTATTAGTCAATTAATGTCTGTTAAAAGGGTAAAGTGGTGCAACAGAGCAAAATCCCTAAGCCTATACAAGCCCAAAAATAGGAGCATCTGAAACCCTGAACAGAATGACCACACCTGAGACCACCTGCATCAACAACTGCTGTCTTGCAATATCTTTCCTTCTCATTTCCTTTTCCTATTGCTTAGGACAGAAAGGGGTTTACGTGTCACTTTCAAAAACTAAAATGTAATAAATGCAACAAGAAGTGTCAAGAGCTCAGCTCTTATTTTATGGCAAAAGAATGTGAAAAAAACCTAAAGATTTAAAATAAATGAGAATACCATCACATTTAGCTGTAATTTCACCTTTTGGGTTTTGGTGTAAGAGTTATAAATATTATAGTTCACTTCCACCTAAGTTATGAATCATAAAACATCACCATCCATTAGGTGTAACGTAAAAGACAGTTAAAAGAAGAATTCATCATTTTACAAATAAATAAATACAAGTTTCCACATATCAGAGAAAAGGAGCGAAGTCCACATTCTGATGCATGTCTTGACCATGTGCCGTCATTTCTTGTCTATAATCCCACTGATGGAGAAAGGAGGCGATGATTTCTTAATACCTACTTTCCTGCAAAGGGACAGAGAATAAAAAGATGCAGATATAGATAAATGTACGTATAAATATGTATATTAGGAATAAATATGTACAATAGGAATTCACTGTGCGATTTTAGCCAGTTTTAAACACAATCACAACCACTTTGCCAATACGTGTAAGATAGAGAGACTAACAAAATGGAGGTGAAAAAGAAATTGTGGAACTAAAGTCTGTATATGCTGACTTTTCTCTGTTTGAGCAGGATTGCAAGGTATAAACGTCAATTCGATGATTTTTTTTTAAAACTGTCTTTGTAAAATAGAATGTGGAAAGATCGCGTTGTCCTGCAATGCACAGTGTTAGCAAAGCTGCTGTAACTCAGTTTCTTAGCATGTTTGCTCAGTACTCGGGCATGCCGTGTGTTAATCTGAATAAAACAGTTTGACTGATAATTGTCCATAGACAGAGCTGTGTTTAAGGGCTGCGTTTTGTGTAGCAAGGACAGAGCGCTTTTGTGCAGTGTGAATATATATATATTGTAGGCTTTGTCCGTAAATGAAACATAAAGGGTAAGTCAGCAAAGAATAAGATTACTAAAATCGCACAGTGTATGCCTGTCTTTACAGGACAATCAAATACAGTGCAACCAGCCAAACAAAAGACTTCAACAACAGGAAACGTGAGCTCCCTGTGAGGACGGGAGGACCAAAACTATAAAACATACTTTACTACATAAGCACTCTTCTGACATGGATCAATACCCACTCTTCTCCACTGCAATGCTAGTCAATCCAAGGTAAATAATGGTAAATAATGCAAAATCAGCTAAGTTTTAATGATTCTAGAAGTAATTCTAAGTAGGTTCCTCAGTATGGTATCATAATGGGTATTGGCAAGTACTAAAAACATGTACTCATACTTGGTCTGAAAAAAAATAGTGATGCATCTCTAATTTCAACCACACCACGGGTGAAATACAGCAACAATAAGCTATGGTTTTCAGCTGAACTGAACTTCGGAGGGAGGCAGCATTCAGGAGCGGGGACAGAATTCTCTAATGAAGAGGTGAAATACAGGCTAGAGAGATCACCAACAACAAGGTGAGGAAAAAACATTCCTCTTTCTAAACGACCACCAACTCATCACAACCTGAATGAGTTCTACTGCAGCTTTGAATGCACAAAGGACAACCTTCAGCCTTTCGCTGCCAGTCCCCTGCCATCCCCCCACACCCTGGCCCTTTCACCACTGCCCCTGCTAATCTCACCATCAACGTGCAGTACATCAACAGGCTCTTCAGCAGACAAAATTGGGAAAAGTTTCAGGGCCAGACTTAGTCTCTCCATCCACTCTAAAGCACTGATCAACTAGCACAAATTTTCACAAACATCTTCAACAAATCAGTGGAATTTTGCTTTATTTCCACATGCTTTGAAACTTCAAACATCATTCCAACCCCCAGTCTCCATAGCCAAGAGAGAATGTTCTTCCTGAGACAGCTGAAGACATTCAACCTACTGCAAAGCTTGATGATCCAGTTCTACACAGCGAGTCCATTCTCACATCATCCATAATCAACTGGTTTGGTTTCTCCACCTCACAAAAAACAAGACAGACTCCAGCAATAATCAGAACAGCGCAGAGAATAATTGGATGTAGTCTGCCAACGCTTCAGGACATCTACAACAGCAGGGTGATGAAACACACTGGCAAAATTACCAGCAAAACCAGACATGCCAACAGCTTTTTCTGTAGCGCTCATCAATCACAATGGACACTTTGCACTTTATATTTTAACTGAAACCAAGAAACTTCCCTTACTGTGCTTGTAACATAATGTATTAATGTAACATAATGCTTATTTGCACAGATGTACAAATGCACATTTTTTAAATAAAGGATCATATGCTATGTTATTTTATATATCTCCTTAGACCAGCATTTGTACAGACATTCGTTTCTGCATATGTACAGATATCCACATCTTTTTGCCTTCCTTTTACATTGGCTCTTTATTATTCTTTCTTATTCTTTATTTTATTATATTCTTATTTTATTTGTCCCCTAGCTAAATACTTTTTAATAATCTTTGTGCTTGTCTAGTCTGTTCTGTATGTTACATGTCATATATGTGTGCACTCACCAAGACAGATTACTTTTTGTGTGTAACACATACGGTGAAATAAAGTGCTTCTGATATATTTATGCTGAAAACATCACAACCCCTGGTTTCTATCACCACCATTATTAAGAATCCGAGTGGGTAAGTTGCTCTACAATTAACCATTTCAAAGCAAAACACTCAATGCTTTTGTTTACAACCCAGTGATTGAATCAAATTCCCCTTTAAAATGTTTGTGTGAGTTTGTGTACCCAAAAAAAAAACAAAAAAAACAAAAAACAAACATCTCTTAATCCTTTAGAACTAAACAGGCAGTTTTTGTTACTGTGCATTTAAGACTGATATATGTAAATGACCACTGTTCTTAGTAATGCCTCGTTCAAAAAACAGTCCAGGCTGAAATACTCCTAATAAAATCAACCCAAAGGGGCTGGACAAAACTAATTTTGGCTGAATAGATGGATGTATGTAATATGTTGGTTTTTGTGACTTCTCAAAAACACTTCAATCAAAACTGACTGTTCTGCAACCTAATTCCATATTTGGAGTATTTGGACTAGGAAATGAAAGGTATGTTTTAAAACCTGTGTACACAATGTTTATATTCTACATCAAACTTCTTTATTTCAAAAAAGTGAGGACAATTATGCTTTCCAGGATATAGGCTTTATAAAATTCCAGCAACACTGTTAGATCCACTTGTACCAGAGCAGCACATGCTAACATACCACAACCATAGCTGCCCTGTGGTTATCCTGTGAAGATCCACTGATAAACAGAGTAAAGATTGCTAACAAATTATGCGGAGAAACAGGTGGACTACAATCTGTAATTATAGAACTACAAAGTGCACCTAAATGGTAAGTGGATATAATAAAATGGATAGTGAATGTAGATAGTAGGTAGCTGTACTTTTTAGTGACCAGTGAGTGTAGGGAGGTAGTGTAGGTAGATCATAGATATGTATGACCCATATGACCTGTGTGTGCATGTGTGTGTTTCAGTTTTACTCACTTCAGGATTTTATCTTTTGCTGAAGGCCCTTTAAAAGGAGACACAAAAGGAGACTTTTATTTCTCACACCCCACTAAGATCAGTGAATAATGGTTTGACAGTAAGAAAAAGACGTACGCTTCCTCTTGCAGCGGCTCTTGAGTTTTTTCCAGCAAATCTGTAGCACACAGACCAGCACAAACACCCCAAGGATGCAGAATGCTATTGCTATTCCAATAGCCACTGACTGTGATCTGGCATCTGAAAGACACAATTACCTAATCATGCTGAGGTCAATCTGAACTACAGTACAATCATAGCAATACCAGAGCAGTGACTGTATAACTTTATATATGCAACACCAAAAGCAATTACATGATCTGAGAGGGCATACTGTTTCATTTTGGGTATTATGAGACACACGCAAATGGTTTACTTTATAAATGCAACCTCCTCAACTCCCTGTCTCTGGCTTGGTTTGCAATATCATGACTCAAAAGTAACAAATACTTTCCCCAATTTCCCCCGAGAAATTCAACTCAGATTGAAAATTTAGTGGTCTTAACCCCATTCCATATATAAAGCTTAGCATTAGCTTTTGTCTATGAGGTAATCCATATGTCCTGCTTTTTGTTCTTACCCATCTGACTTTTCCTGCTGAGCCAACAGTTGTTTCCTTTCACACAGTTTACAGGAAGAAAAGATTAAAATCCGTTTTCTAATAAGAAAGAAAAAGATCACTTCTATGATATTCTCTCTACATATCCTTCGCTTCTTTCTGTGACCAGTGACTCTGACTGCAGATAACTTTGTATTTTCCAAACTGGTTTGTCCTCATTTTTAGCATTTTCCACTTTGGCAGGTACACCCTGTCTTCTTTCCTTTATTTTCAATACCTTATTCCTTAATATAGAAACCATTTAACCAATAGTTTATAAAAACTGATTTTTTTTCTTTTTTTGCTCTAGCCCCTTTGCAGGTTTTAGAGATTATGGCTCCTTTTAATATTCTTTATTAGCATTCATTTGGCATTTGATCTAATCTCTTGGAATTCACATGGCAAGTATGTCCTGTTGTTGTACACACTTGCACTTCATCTCTCCACCCTAGTTAATGGAGAAATGGCTTGACGTCACAGCTCTCACTCTGAAGTACATGTAAACATGCTGAGCTTGTTCTCGTCATAAAAGAAAGCAGGTTTTCCTTTGATGCAAAACTAGAACACTTCCGCCCTCTACTGTTTGCTATGCATATTACAACTGGCACAGTAACTGTTGATTCCCCGCATAATTTTCCTCTCATAGGTAAAATGTGATGCATGAAAAATGTACAGGAAATTCTCATATGACAGTTAGCAATTATAAAAGGAGACATAACATAAAAACAATCACAATATTAATGACAGAGGCCTAGGCCAAATGTTGCACATAGTACAACTGTGGCATGCAAGTTCAGAGCACTGAAACAGCAGCGGTTCTCTCGCACTTCCTGTGTTTCCACACCCTGAAACTCTCAAGGTTCTACGTGAAAGCACCTTTTGTGTGCCAGAATGGAAAACAGTGACCCAGTTGAACAGCTACTATAATGCACTCTCAGGATTAGGGCTTTACAAACAATGCACAGTCTAATAGTACACACACGCAAGGTTCAAAATAAGGTGTTTTGCTTTGCTGAAGTTTCATCCACTTTTTTCTTTTTTTTTTTTTAAACACCAGAGGGTATTTCATAGGCTGCTTAATATAAAGTTTTTTTGGGAGAAATGGAAGTGTGTAGATATTAACATGTTTGTTGGTCCCAATAGGAGAAGGCTGCTCCCACAATCTCTATCAAGTGGTGCAGATCACACAAGATTATCAGAAATCCTCCTAGAGTGACCATGTTAGCCAATCAAAACCAATGCTTCTAATAAAAAATAAGGCCAACATTCCTGCATTTCCCACCTTTTGTCCATTCCAAACGGCTACCACACCCTTTGATCATTACAGAAAATGTTTTAAAATATCAAACATACAAGACAACATGGAAACACAGTAGGTGAGTGCATATCTGAAGATAGATGCAAGTTAAAATAGGGTAAAAAATGACGTGATGAAATGTCTCTAAGATAAACATCTGCCCTGAAGAGGAAGAAATGATTAACATTTTAGGTGTTTTCCCGTTCCTCTTTTTCTTCCTTTCCAGGCAGAGTATGCATGTTTGAAGAGAACAGCCTTTTCTTTTTTCTTCCACTCCTTCTCACATACACACAAAGTGGAGCAGGAGGCGTAGTAAGAAAAGAAAGCTCATCAAGGCCTATCAAGTTATTGCTACAGGGAAAGAAGGAAGAAGGAAAAGTAATGACTGGTCTTCACTTTGATGACGCAATTTGATACGTATTTTGCTAATATTTCCAGGTAAGCTTGGATTTTGATGTTGGTGTCTTTAACGACTGACTCAAGACACAGGATGCATGTGCTGAAAACGGTTAACTGAGGTATTACTGAGGTAAAGAAATCTATGACAGTCCCAGTTCAAAACATGGTTAACAATCTTCAAGAAAAGAGGGTGAGATTCAAAGAATAGGCCACAACCTCCCAGGGGATAAAATTAAAAGCAATATACAATGATGTTTTTGTCACTACTTTGACAATGATATTGCTGTAAACACAAAAACAGCCTGTTATTTTACAGTGGAACACATGCTAACATTCCACAATCATATCATTGCCACTGTAGTGCTGTTATTAAAATTCTACATGTAATCATTTTTGTATAGCCTATGATTTGTTTGAAAAAATTATGTTGGACATATTATGAGAAGAACTGCTTAATTGGAAAAGACAATGTGCATGGAACAGCTAAAGGTAAAAGAGGAAGAGAATGGCCAGCAACAACATGGATGGAGACAGTCATAAACAAGCCATTAAGAACCATAAAGACCCAAACAGAAGACAGGATATTTTGGAGAAACACTATCCATATGGTCGCCAGGATTCGAAATCAACTTGAGGGCAGTTAATAATAATAATGATTTTTTAACCTATGATTGGTTAGCTTGTACCACTGGGATAGGCTCCAGCACCCCTGCGACCCAGAAGAATAAGTGGCTTAGATAATGTGTGTGTGTGTGTGTGTGTGTGTGTGTAGTTCGGTTGTGATTGGTAGTCATCACTACGTTCCAGATTGCTAGCAGATGAATTTGGCAAACCTAGTTAAAATCCACAGAGATGGACCCATTACCCAGTTAACAGCCTATACATACACAGTTAACAGCCTATAAGAGAACATCATAGATGTAGATCAGAGTAAGGATGTGCACACATACGCGAGTACTGGAGGTAAACTGTTTGAGGTACCAGTATTTCAAAGTGAGGTAACTATTTGGGTATTCATTACATTACATCAAGGGAATACTGAAAAATACAGAGGCTAACAATTCAGTGAAACTGTACTATAGATTTGCTCAAATTTGCGATTAGGTATTTTTGTTTTACTTTACTACTCTGGAAGCATTGCTAAGAAGGCAGGATGTAGCTAAGAAGGCAGAAATAGTGTGGCTATCACAAAATTTTCTATGCAATCCTCATCAGCATCCAACGTGACACTTGTTAGCTAATAAGATATCTAAAGAGTCAGTCTCCATTACTCAACCTACCAATGTTCCTGGGCTGTTTTTGAATAATAAAACATGTTCCTCTGTGTGCTGCTGTAGTTTTGTGCAACACCAGTACTGTAACTTAAATGGCAAGCCTAAAGCCCTACATTATTTTCTGCCAAAGTTCTGATATTTTTCCTAAAATATCAATTTTTGGACAATTTTTCAAAGAGCAAATACTCTTCGAGCTAGACCTCTGACCCAACATCTGCCAACAGACACTGCTGATGTTCAACACAACTGCCCACTAATGTGGTTATGTTACAATTCAGTATAATACATGGTCATCATCTTATCACACAGATTTTTCCTGTTTAGTTAATCTAGTTACCTTATGTAATCTGGTAATCTGAATGCAGTCATAACCAGATATTAATTATTTACTCAATATAAATATACAGCACTGTCTGTACTCTGACATCCCTGTAGAATTAGTGCGTAACTGTTCATACGTAGACATACACTATAAATATATAAAGCACTGTCTGTACTGTAGAGGAGTGGAACTGCATTCTCTAGAGTGATGGAGTACCATCAAACAAGAGTGTCATTTGTGAGCCATTTTAAAAACTTTTACTGACCCATGTGCCACCAGGTACCGTCCATTTGCGTATTCTCGTAAATGCCTGTGGAAAAATCAATCATTTTTATATGTGTTGTTCTTGTCTACACATAGTACATGACCCTAGTTACATGACCTTGACAGCTGGTCCTCAACTTAGCTTGTCATTGGTACTGATTAATCTTGTAATTGATGTGATATTGAAAACATATAGATAAATATAAGTAGCCTACTGGAAGAAATCAAGTGTAAAATCATTAATGTGGTTTATGATCCAATAATTCAGGCAGGCCTGCATATGTGAAAGACACGGACATAAAACAGGAGCTTGCTGATGTTAGGGATCATTAGGTTCATCCTATTATTGTAGTTACTGTGTGTACATTTGCTCACTTTAAATTACTCTATTCCATTTGTCTCAATACTTATCCTTAATTTTAACAGGTATGGGGACATAAAACATTCCACAATAAAACACCATATTCTGTATCTATCTATCTGCTAAGTTAGACCTTAGCATTTGAAAATTTAAATGAAACCTTTCAAGTGTTTAGCAAAAATAATAATTTTAATATTACTGAACCAATTTTGGACTTTTGGAAGGAACTCTATTTGCTTGGAACTCCAAGCTTGTAGTGTAATACATTACAGTTTTCTGAAAGCTATTTCCTCTTCAGCTTTTCCTTGTATCCAATTTCACTGTCAAAATGACAATATGACTACTGAGATAAAAAGGAATCCACAACACTCGGTTTTGTATCAGAAACACAGGCACAGGCTAGCAAATGAGGAGCAAATAAGAAGCAAATGTGTGTGTGTTGGGGGGAGGGTTCTTGTTTAAATAGCAGGGCTAGGTTAAAGCCAAGGCAAACAGATTATAACAGAGAACTCACTTCCACAAAGACTACAGAGCAAAGGTAAAGGAGTAGGAGGGTGGAAAAGGGGAAGAGCTATAACTACTTACTCTTCACTAAGACCAGATACCTGCGGAACAGGCCATCAAACCTTTAAACAAGTAAGTAAAACATCTAATGAATTTGCATTAACTCACAAAAAAAGCACAGTAATCTACTCGTCAGTTACAGGACGTGTAAAAATAAAACATGTTTTTACATAAGGCACTCTTATGTAAGACACATGTAAACTCTTTTTAAGAGTTGTAGTTAGGGCTGATTAGTGTGGGGAAAATATCACTGTGATCTTTTTCTAACCAATATTGCAACTGCTATTAAATTACGTCTATTCTCTATAAATTAAAGTCCACATCTGTTATCGTGGCCAAGAAGCAGCACATCTACATTTTCCTGCTTGAGGCTTGAATGCTGACAGTTACTGCCAGTTAGTTGTGTTTGTGTTGGGTGTTGGTTGTTTGGTTGTTTTTAAGTGGTCTAACTCATCTATAGGCGATTCACAACATGTTAAATTTCTTCACTTAGAACTTTACTTAGAACACTTTGTGACAATACTGTTAATAATAAAGTTAATAATAAAGACCATAATTAAAAAGTACTACGTGAACTTGCTCGTAAATGAACAACCTAGTTGTTATTCAAAAAGCACTTATTTGTTTGGATTTTGCCTGCATTTTTGCACCAAAAACCAGAGCCAG